AGGAATTGATTCCTGTCAGGTAATTATTCCTAATTAACACCTAATAACGATCTGATTATCTTTATGGTCTTACTAGTAGGCTTTTTTTAATCATCTATTAATTACAAATAGATCCTACCAAAAAGAAAGTAAAAAATTTGAGTAACATTTTGCTTGGGCTTCTAGTTCCTTGCATGGTGCATTCCTTTAAAAGGGAGAGCTTTTGTTTCATCTTCTGAATGGCTGCCAGTGCCAAGTTCTCACTAAATACCCAAAGAGGGTGAGGCAGTCCTTTTTAATGCTTCAAGGATGTTTGTTATCTGGTACTTGAAAGTGAATGAATGCTCTTCCTTATCACGGTGATACCCTAGCATTATGCTTGTGACCAAGAAAGTCAATAATGCCCACCTCACTTAGTGCTTTGGGCAAGCAATTTGCATCCCTATTGCAAGCAGTCATCATTTAATACTGTAATTGCCCTTGCATTTTGTTTTAGTGACTACCTTAAAATGGTGATTAGCTTTTTTTTTTTTTTTTTTTAAACAATTTGTGTTCCTGAAATGAAATGGATTGTGTCTTTCCTGGTGGCCAGGTCACTAATAATATGCTCATATTTGTGCAGGGTGACAGTGGAGGTCCGTTGGTAACTAGCAAAAACTCCGTGTGGTGGCTGGTTGGAGATACCAGCTGGGGAACTGGCTGTGCCAGTCCCAATAGACCTGGAGTGTATGGGAATATGACCGTGTTTACAGACTGGATTTATAAAAATATGCAGGTAACATATTAGAATGTTTTTAATAATTTTAAATGTCCCAAATACCGAAATTTGATTTTATTTATAAAAATAAATAAATGCCACTTGTCTGCTGATGAAGCTGTTCTGTTGAGAAGCATCCAAGTAATTGATGAGATAGTCTGTCCACGGAACAAACCTTTGTTTTTTGTTTTGTTTTTTAAACAGGCAAACAGATGACAGTGCTGTCTGTCCTTCTTGCTGATCCATGCTTCTGGGAACAAGAATAAATGAAGCCATAGGTGCCTGGGATATTTATTCACTTTGGAAATGATTTTTGTTTTTTTTTCTCTTTGAATTTTCTTTTTAAAAATAACGTGAAGGATTGCACACTCGGTTCTGTGCTGGCTACAGTGACTGATCTTAATCAGCAAAGGATTATCACAATGAGCACCTTTCTTCTTGTTGTGATGCCTGGCAGAAAGTCATCCTCTCAACTGCTTGCCTGAAATGTCTCTCTTTAGTTGGGTAACTTTCACTTGATAATCAGTTACAGGCTTATAATGGCAATTTTAATCACAATTTAATCTAAGATTTTTGTAGCAGGATGCCAAGACAGTTGGTTTAGCAGTGTTTTAGATTAAATGTTAAGTAATGTGAAGGTTGAATCTCTGAGCTGCTGGTTGGCAATTTAAAAAGAAATGGATGTTTTTTGGTATATATGAAGGGAAGTTTTCATGCACTACGGTAGAGGCACAGGAAAAAAAAATACTGTATATTCAGGTAGTTAAAAGTCCTCAGGATCTCAACACAGCAGTCATCCAAGTCAGGTTGTTCGAAGTGAGACCAGTCTGACTGTCTCAGTAATTAAAAGTGCTGTCCTGCCTTACGCTGCTCTGAACCTGAAAAGGGCAAGACATACCATCGCTCTCGACGTAGGCTTCGGAGACGCAGAGGGACACTCCGGAGGAGCTGTGGTGGGAAGCGGTGAGTTCAGTGTCCCGATGGCGAGGTCCCTGGCTGCGCACATGGAGGTTGACTCTTGAACTCTCCCTGCTGTGAAAGGCAAAGGGCGAAGTTTTTCAAGAAGGCTGTGTTGTAAGCGATAGACCTCTGCCTGCAGACACACAGAGGCTGGATGTTTTGTACAAAGAAATACAAACCTGCGTTTCTGTGTAACCAGGTGAACTACCTCATTTATTAAATTTGGCTTTTAAATTCATTAGAGCTCTCTTTTATGTATCTGCATGTATGTTTTTAGCAAAATGTAATTAATATCAGAGTGCCGCCTCAACTAGGATTTTGAAAATAATTTATAATCATAGTACAGAGGATCAAAAAGCCATATCAAGTTACTTTTGTTACTAAGGATAAATCTTTTGACTGAATGACTCTACTAGTCTTGTTTTCTCTTTTGGTATCAAGATGCAATTGTCTTGCATGTAAACATTGCACCAAATAAATATTTTTTTTTTTTTTTACTACAAATAGTTTTCCTTAGTGGTTTGTATTGGTTTGCTTGGATGTTTTGGAAGCAGTTGCTGGATTCAGCATCTGAAGTGCTTTGAGAACCTGATTTAAAAAACAAACAAAAAAACAAAGCAAAAGAGAAAGAACACAAGAGGATGATCCAAGAGATTGTTTTAATTCCAAAATTTCAGGTCCTTGAACAAACCCAGGGAAA